TGGTGCTGGCTGTCTTTAGTAGCCCCCCTGCACGGCTGGCCGAGCAGCCGCTGAAGTGGAAAGCAAGAACAGTTCACTGCCTGTTCACTGGGGACAGGTAACCGTGGCTGGCACGTTGCCCTGGGGCCACTTGTCTGGGGACAAGGAGCCCTGGCTGCAGTCTGAGTCCTCTAGTTGGGAACAGAGCCTCCTCCAGCCCTGGGAGAAAACACTGAGGCCTGAGCTGTGTGCCCGGGGGCTGGGGGAGGGGAGCAGGCTGGGACAAAGAGGGCTGGCCTCCCAGAGCCGCAGGGCTTGGCCTGCCCAGCTGCATCTGTCACTCTGGTTTTTGGACTGCGCCTGGGTGGCAGGCCGGCTCCAGCGCATGCTCTCCCCCACTCCAGCTTCAACCAAAGTAGCCTTGCTTTAATCTATTTGTGCAATGGGCTTCTGCCTTTACAAATAAGATTGTCTGTTTTATTAAAGGTTGAAAAGCATTCCATTAGAGATTGTCCAAGGCCCTATCCAGTGCACAGGGAGAGTGAATGTTTAGGGAGTTTCAGAAACACGTTCTGAACAGAGGGATCTCTGTTTGCTTTCTTCCTGGGGCGTTCCTCCTCTCTCTCTCTCTCTCTCTCTCTCTGTCCCTCCCTCCCTTTCTCTCTCCCTGCCTTGCAGCTCTCTCATTCAGCAGTTCTCTCTAGGGTGCCCCTGCGTCACACGTGTACCTCACTTTAGAACTCTACAAGACACAGGGATTATCAAAATGGGTGAAAAGCATCTCAAGTTCAGTCTGCTAAAGAAGGCACAAATGCACAGTGTTCAGATTTGGAGTGGAAGTCTGTGAGTGACCCCCAAGTTTAGCTCTGGACCTCAGGGAGGTGGAGATGTTGTCTACTTGGGGGGGAAGGGTGGACATGTGAGAATCAGAGAGACAGATGATGAATGTCAGAAGACACAGAAATGTGTGATTCTCTCAAAGAAGAGACTGTTTTTCCAGGGGGCCAAGGTTCCTACCCCATAAGGCTCAGACCCAGCCCAACAAGTTGGAAGAGATCCCCTTGGCTGAAGTGTCCCCTTCGTTGCCTCCCCGAAGCCTTGCTCACTCATCTTCTGCACTCCCCCGGGATGGCATGCCCCATTCTCCATCTCTGCCAAGCTAAGCTATTTACCCTCTGGGTCACCTTCCCCTTTCTCCTTTCACTTGCCCATCTATAATCCGAGACCATTCTTTTTTTTAAATTTTTTTAAATTAACATATAATGTACTATTTGTTTCAGGGGTAAAGGCCCGTGATTCATCAGTCTTATATAATTCACAGCGCTCACCATAGCACATACCCTCCCGCATGTCCATCACCCAGCCACCCCATTCTTCACTTTCCTCCTGACTCCTTCCCCCAACTGATGCCACCCATCTCCAGCTGGAGCTGCTCAGCATGTTGGTCACATCCTTCTAAAGAGCAGATTCTGGACACTGAAGCTCTCTGGAAAGCCAATGCAGGGAATGTGTTACTTAGTATACTGTGCTTTGCAAATAGTATTATCCAGAGTCCTAGGCAAAACCCTGGATGGGGTTCCCCAACACCCACCTCACTGTCAACCAAGCAGCCCCCTTTAATCTGATTTGCATAAATATTCCATTTGAACAGAGAGTTCTACAGTTGAGAAAATTGGAGATCAATATTCCCATTGCACAGATGGGAAAATGAAGGCACAGAGAGGCTAAGGCAGGCAACTGAAGCCATGAGGGTCTTTAGCAGCTCCTGGCCCAGAGCTCTTTAGGAAGCATATTAATAACTAATCACTGCATGACTTACAGAGGTTCCACTTATAAGTATTCCTACTAAACAGAGCAAAATCGGCATATTCCCCACATGGTGTGGGAGAATCAAAGTATTGTAAACTGGGTCCTGTGGTGAATCAGAAGTCACACACTGGAGCCCCACCAAGATCACCTGTCTTGCAAGTGTGCTTTGTCTGGTTACATTTTATTTTTAACTATATATTTTTTAACTGAATAATTTCCTGCATTAGTCAGGATAGTCTAGGTCATGCTGCAGTAACAGATCCCTGAGACACCAGCAGCTTTTCCCAGCAGAGCATTACTTCTCTTCCCAGTCCATATCCAGAGTGGGTTGGCCGAGGACTCTGCTCCACAGAGGCACTCGGGGACCCAGGCTGACCATCTGGAAGCGGCACCAATTGGCACATGCAGCTTTCTGGGTCACCATGGCAGAGACCAGGGTCACACACGGCTCGAAAGCACTAGCCTGAGAGTGACACACAACCCTTCTTGCGTGTGACATGTGAGGTGTTAGGCACATGGCCCCACGGGGGCCTGGAGGAATCTGAGCTAGCACAGGTCAATGTCTCAGCCACAGTGTCCACCTTTCAACAGTGAAATGTAGCCCATACAAATCCAGATGTCTGGCTTCTCATGACACTCCAGAAGAGCTGACCCTCCAGAGAAGGAATGTGTCCGCCAAGTCCCCATGGACTCCACTGACCAGTATCTCAGCGGAGTCACTTCCCTGACCCTGGAGACATTTACATGTTTTATTCCAGCTGGATATGCACAACTCTTGGAAAACTGACCTTGGAGGACCCCGTGAGGCTTCTCAAATTCATCCACTAATTTAACAGCCATCTATGTGCCTCCTGCTACGTGTCAGGCTCAGGTTTGGGGCTGGAAATGGGGTGAGCCAGGAAAGTACTGTCCCTGGTGTGGAGGCCTGCAGCTTCAACCTCACCTCCCACTCCCTGCCCCCCCCCCCACTCCCCCAGCCTCCGATCAGCTCCCTCACACACGGGCCAGGCCCTGCAGACCCAGCACAGCCAGGAGCCCAGAGCAGGTGCTGGACTGGAAGGGAGCCTCTCCTGATACGGGAGAAGGTGGCTCTTCTGGCAAGGGTGTCCTGGGGAGCTCGCAGCCGAGCATAGGACAAGGAGGAGGCTGTTTTCTGGACAGCACCATGAAGACCCAGAAGGAGGACAAAGCGGAAAGCCTGTTAGGAGAAATGAGAGCAGCTCAGGGAGGCTAGAGCTCCCGGCAGGGAGTGAGGAGGGGTGGGAAAGAAGCTGGCTACAGAGGAGACAAGGGGGAAAACCACCTGCTGTTACTTCTGGGCAAATCCAGCCCTTCCCACGATGAGCCTGCATAAAGCGAGACACAGTAGTGACATGAGCCCACAGAAGCAGCAGAGAGTGAGAAACCCAGATACTTTTCTTGGGCTGAAGCCAGCTCTGCATGGAAGTATTTGAGGAACTGCCCAGAGAGGGAGCCTGGCAGATCACTTTTTCCACTGGAGCCTCAGGACCTGAGGAACTGAAACCCGATTTTGAAATCCTGTTGCCCAAGAGCAAGGCCCCCGCTCCAGGCCCCCATGGTGCCTAAGCCTGTGCCCTCTGGAGGTAGGACCTCACTGTGGCTACAGCAGGGGACCTAACCTCTCTCTAGGCCACGTTTTGCCTCAGTCTAGACCCAGGCAGAGTGGAAGTGTTTATAGGATGATTCTGAGGTCACTGAGAAGCCCACCTCCCTCAGTTTGTTCCCGTTCTCTGTGTTTCCCTGCTTCCAGAATCAAATGGTGGTTCAAGCCTGAGGCTATCACGGAAGGCAGGCTTGTCTTGTTTGTGGATGGTACAAACAAGCAGGAAGACAGGGTGTACAGCTGGTCAGAGTCAGGGCCCAAGGGGATGGAGTGCTCTGAGGACATTAATACAACAGCAGTCGAACCTGACCGTGAACCCCCAGGAACATGTGTGCGCGCGTGGGGAAGACCTGACTGAGCCAGGTTTGTGAGAACAGACGTTGGGGTTTTGTGAAGGAGCCACTCTGCAATGCGAAGGACAAGCTGTGTACCCTTTCTGGGCCATTTCCCAGCGTGACTTAACCCCTCAGAGTGCTAGCGGCAACTTGAGAGAAGAGGAGGGACAGGGCCAAGACTGGGGGCAGCGGAGAGAAGCTGTGGCTCACTGCCCAACACACGGCATGCCTCAAGAAGGGAGTTCTTGGCCAGAGTAAGCTGGAGAGGGAGAAAGTTGAAATCTGTGCAGAAGATGGCAACAAGCTAGAGAAAGCACCAGTGGATTTCCCCAGGAGGGTTTGAGAAGCTCCACAAAGCTTTCCAGGCTGTGAAGACACAGTCTCGTGTGTGAATCAACTAACAGTCCTATAGGGCAGAGGTCACCCCATTGCATAGATGAGAAAAAGAAGGCTGGAGGGTTTAAGTCACTGTGCAAGATTAATACAGGGAAGGGGTTAAGAGACCAGAATCTAGGATCTAAATGCTTGTGTTCAAGTACTGACTTTACCACTGATTCGCTGGGAATCTTGGGCAAAGTACCCAACTTCTGACTCTGTTTTCTCATCCATAAAATGGGAATAGGATAATACTTACCTCATACTATTGTTGTAAGGAGTAAATAAGATAATTCGTAGAAAATGCTCAACACAGTCTCCCGAATGTGGTGACCACAGTACCGAGTAACCCATCACCAGGAGAGCTGGCCCAGGTGTGCCGATTCCAAAGGCAGTGATGGGGCCACCAGCCTGGGCTTGGTAGGAATGGAGGAGAAAGGCCCAGGGTGCTTTGGGGGTTTGGAGGAGCAATGGAGGCGGAAACCATCCTTCAGGATGTCCCAGCTGAGGGAAGAGAGCCTGTGGTCTGAAGCATCTATGAGACTGATCCAGATTCTTAGGGATTATGGAGAGATTCTGGGAGGGGGGGCTGATAGAGCTGGTACTGGGTGCCAGCTAGCTCCGCAGTTCTGACCTTGCCCCCCACCCACCCGGGGGAGCTTGGCTGCCCCGGGTGGGTGTGGGGCCCCATTAAGTCCTCTGAGCCTGATCCTTCAGCTGTGGCCGCCCTGTGCCAAGGAGTGGAGGGAGGAGGGGCGCGGGCGGGATGGGAGGTGGAAGGTGAGCCTGAAGCCACAGGCTGGCACACCAGGGCTCTGGACACTGCACTGGCCAGCGCTTCTCCAGGCTCACCTGTCTGTGCTTCCTCCTCTTCCCAGCAGGTAACTTCCGAGTCTGCAGACAAGAGGGGAAGATGAAGGAAGACTGTCCGCCCAGTTCTCACGTCCCCATCAGCGACAGCAAGTCCATCCTGAAGTAAGGCTTTGCGTACAGGGAGGGGATCTTCTTGTGGCCACACCTTGCCATGGACAGACTTTGGGTGGAGGGAGTCGGGGCACCTTTCATAGAGATGACGATGTGCCTGCTCCAGGGACAGTGATGGGGGCACTTCTTTTTGAAGCCTGTGTCCTTGGAGATCAAGGATCTCTTTGGGGTGTGGGTTTGACCCCTGCCTCCTCAGGCCCACAAAGGCAGGAAAGCATGGCAATGTCCGCCGTGACTCTGCACAGATGGCATTTAATTGATTCAAAAACTAGAGCAATTCTAACATTCTTAATCATGTTAAACAGTTCAGGGGGGAAAAAGAAAAAAAAAAACTCAAAATAGGTTTGGAGTCTTTACTGAAAGAAGTGCATTTTATTGACACAATAATTTTTAGCTCTGCTTATTTTTAATTTTATTTACTATCTGTCTTACCATAAAAAAATGTTTAGAATAGTTTTTCAAATTTATTTCCCAACTAAAGAAAAGTGTATTTTTTATGTTATCTTGCTTTTTGAGTCCTGAGTCCAAATCTTTTCTAAATTTGGGCAGCTCCTATCTGCCACGCTGAAGAGAAGCCAGCCTCCCAGCTTTTGCTGACCTCCTTCCTGGGTTCCCCTCTCAGAGACCTGAGAAAACAGACGGCACTCCATGCACGGTGCTGCCCACACCATCATTTTCCTGGTTTAAATTTTATAATGAGAATCATATTAAATGCAACTTTGGGAAACGTCATAATCAGAACCATAACATGATTGATTTCATGTATAGGTGTCCTACCAAGTTTAGGTTCAGCATTTACATACTTACAGACACGGTGAACCTGCAACATTGACTCTTGCTGTGTTAATGGCATCCCATTCACTGAATCACAAGTGCCTCACTTGCCCTGTCGGGTACCATCACCCCCACATCGGAAAGCACACCCGAGCACCAGCAGCAGGTGTTGCTCGTCCATACCCTGGGGGACTCCAGTGTCAGCGAAGGCACTGCCTGAAGAGATTCTAGAGCAGGACCGTCCGGTAGGGGAGCCATGAGCCTCGGTGGCTGCCAAGCGCATGACTTACAGCTGGAGAGGAGTAGTGAATATAAAAGACAAGTAGCAAACACTCGTTACGAAATAAAATAATGAACAAGATCTCGTTAGTAGTTTTTATATTGATTCCATGTGGACATGATAAAATTTTAGATACATTGTGCCATAAAACAAAATGTATTATGAAAACTAATTTCCCCTGTTTGTTTTTTCTTTGTAATATGACTACTAGAAGATTTAAAATTACATGTGTGGCTCGCATTTCTTATGTACGGGACCGCACGCCCCTGCAGAGCCCCGCTGGGGTGCAGGGACTCTCTTCTCTCTGCCACGGCCTCCCTTTATTCCGGGGAGAAGGCGTTTTGGGCACAGACCTTCAGGATCTTCTCTCACAGCTGTCAACTTCATCTCATGATCATACCTCCATAAAGGCAGGGCGAGGAAGAAGCAGGCACCCCTCATGGTGCCCCCACAGCAGCCCACCAGGCCCTTATAGGAAGTAATATGGGGGAGAAAAGCAAGAGTCCTTAAAAGGCTAATGATCTAATCTCAGGGAATTTATTGAGGAAGTGACTCAGAAGTAAAGTACAGGGAGATTGTCAGGACCTCTGATCTGTGACAGTGAAAGTGTGCACACACAATTTGCACAATTACTTGGGCCGTCTGTGAGTTTCTCCTCGTCCTCTTCCCACCCCTACACCTTCCACAAGGGCTGACATGTGAAACCTCTAGAAGACTGAAATGCGTGTGTCTGATGGCAGAGTCTAGTCTCTAAACTGATTGTGTGTGGCTGGCAAGACATCTGTCATTATGTCCCAAAGCCCTGCCACGCCCCAAGGTTATTATGTGTGTCTTTACCTTTTTAGGTCGGAGCTCTTAAGCTTGCTAAAAACTTACAACTGCTACCATGAGGGCAGAAGCTTTCAGCTGAGACACCGAGAGGTAAGGCCTGTTTCTCTTCTTTATTCATAGGCCACCATCCATCTTGGTTTGCTGAAGATAGTCCTGGTTTATACCTGTTACTCCAGGGCCATTATTAAGACCATTGCCTTCACTCTCAGAAGTGTCCCAGTTTGGATAATGAATTATGAGGTCGCCCATCTTCTGAGTTAGAGACCAGGTTACCAGCAGCCAGGCCATCTCCTTAGAGGTCCTGTAAGGGGTGCTGAGGGTCAGAGCATTCCCCCCCCACACACAGACCCAGCAAGAGTTCAGAGCAGGTAGAAATAATCGCCTGTGGGTCTTCTCCTTCCACCTGGGACTTTTGCCTAGATGAACTGCCAGGACACTGGAATTTGAAATCTTCGAGACTCCACAGCCCAGTCCCTTCTCTGCCCATCCCACAGCACAAATAAGGAACTCAACACAGGGCTCTGGTTTGCCCAAGGTCACAGGGCAATCGAGAAGTGAAAGCAGTCTCCGTGTTTGTCAGTCAGAATAAACATCAGAGGAAAGCTTTGAAATGGAGGAGAGCTCCCCAAAGGATGCTCGCAGGGCCAGGCAGCTCAGAATGGGAGAGGCAGGGCAGGCTTGGGGAGTGGAGGACGCCGGAGAGCACATCCCGTCAGGAGACGTTGCTGTGCAGGAACGTGGGCTCCAGACAGCCAGACTCTTCCTAATTTTTCAAAAGAAGTTAGATATCCAGAATTTCATGTGGAATTTCCCAAACCTCCAAACACCATGCTGGCTAAACAAAACACATCCGTGGGTGCAACACAGCCCAGGCCTGGCTATTGTCACGCGGCTCGGGAGCCTGGGTGTGGGAGACAAGCTGCTGGCCCGTGGTCCAGGCAGCACTGGGCCTGGGAGGGCACACGCCTCCCACGCCACCTCCCCTGGGCCCGCTCAGCCTGCACAGGGCCTCGGTCCCCGCCCCCTCGGCCCGGCCCCACTCTTCATTCTGCAGAGCAGCTCTCTGACACCTCTCCCACCAGCCTGCCGCAGCCCTGCTCCCCCCGGGGCTCTGATGCCACCCCCCTGCTATCTCTGGTTTTGCTGCTTCTTTCCTTACCTGAGTGCCCGGCTGGTTTCGGGCACTGGGCCAGGCACAGCGCGCCAACCCACCGTAGGTGTTGGGTGACTAACCAGCAGGCACAGGCCCGGGGCAAGCTGAGATGGGTCCTGAGCACTGGACAGTTTTGGTCTATGCTAAGTGCAGAGTTGGACCCACCTCAGTCGTTGTGCGGGAGGCGTGCGCTGGGGTCTTCTGGCTGGGCCCTGTTCCTCAGCCCTGGGCCGTTCAGTGATTGATTGCAGACTTGGCAGTTCTCAACCTGTGGTCTGTGCACCGGCAGCCTCAAGGTCACCTGGGACTGGTGAGAAATGCAAATTCTTGTCACCCTCCTGCCCCCAGGTCTGCTGAATCAGAAACTCCTTATGTTCCATCTGTGTTTTAACAAGCCCTCCAGGAGATTGTGATGAAGGTCAAGTTTGGAGAATTGCTACTCTAAGAGCTTGGCCTTGGCCCTTGGGATTCCCCAAGACAATCCCCTCTGTTGGAACAGTCGTGTGGGGCGTAGGGCTGGGAAGCCTCAAACCTACGCCCTGTGTTTGTGTGTGACAGGAGAGTCCATGTGGAAAAGTGAGAGACCCCAAAAAGGGGAAGAGGTGTTCCTGACAGCCCCTGTGGTAAGAAGTTAACACCCCACAGACGGGGGTTTTCCTGTTCCTAACCTTAAAGAGGGATAAGGATCTGACTTGATCTCCCTGGAGCCAGAAAGTACCTTTCAGGAACCTTCCTCAGCCTGAACAGCCAAGGGGCACCAGGCTGAGGGAGTATGCGTCCTCGGGGGGTGACCGCCACCACAAAAGGACATAGGCCTGGGCAGCACAGAGTTCTGACACTAAAACGCATGACTGATTCCTGGACACTGAGTGCCTCCGTGACCCACCCACCAGCCTGTGTTCAGGCCTCTGTGGTTTCTCAGAACGCACACCCGGGGACTTCCTGGGCCTCGGGGACTCGCAGTTCAGGCACCTGCCGCAGGGCCAACCCCAGGCTGGCCTCTCCTCAGGCACTGCGGGCCCTGAGGGCAGGGAACATAGGCACCAGGCACCAGGCACTTCACCCCTCTGTTCTTCACTGCAATGCAAGAGCTGTGTGACATGGGAAGGGCCATTTTCCAGACAAAGAGATTGAGGCTTTCAGAGCTTAAGGCTCTCCTGCAAGGTAACACTGCAGTAAGTGGAAGATGCCAGCATGGCTCCAAGGCCCGAGCACAAAAGTTTGTAAGACAGAGACCCCATTGCCAGCATTAAGCTTTGACCAGCCTCAGAGACGCAGGTTGCTGTTTGTCACCTCCGGTCACCGAGCTAAGGAGCCGTCCAGCTGCAGAGGGGCTCAGCACCGGCTGTGCCCTCGCAGAGCCACGTGGGGCTCCAGAAGAGACCCCGCTCCCTGCTGTCACTAGGCCTCCCCCCGAGCGACCATGGCCTGACTGCTGCAGTTTGGGGACACCTCCTCCTCCACGGTCTCTTCCGGGATCCATAGAACGTGGGACGATGAAGTGTGTCAGGGAGCAGGGCCATGCCCCGGGGCAGGTGTTTCCCGGCGAATTCTCCCCCAGCTCCCAAAGGGCGAGGGATTTCCCATACTAGCTTCCTCTGTCGGAGGAGGCCCAGGCACTGGCCTCCTCTATCGTAAACTCTGCCTTGTGCTTATATTACAAAGGAGAGCACGAGCAACCTGGAGCAATCTGTGCCTTTTGAAGATAGCAAATCATTTTAACCAGGCTGTTTGGTTGCTAGAGAGAAAAACGGACCACCTGGAAACACCGGTGGGTAAATACGTCCCTGCGATGAGAAGTAGGACCCTCCTGTTGTGCACCAGCTAGGGGAGCCGGCCTCTCGTGCTCCCCCTGGTGGCCGTGAGCGCGCATCACACCCAGTCCCCATCCTTGGTCCCAGGCTCCTGCGCAGAGTAAGGGAAGGAGCATCCCCTCTCTCAGGGTCTCTGCCTCTCCCAGGGTGGAGAAAGTCAGGAATCCCCTTCCCTCTTATAGTGATCCTCCTTCTTTTAATGCCTGGAGGCAGGATGACGGGCAGTTGACAGACCACTGGCACCCGGGTGTACTCGGCTGTGGACATGTTCCCTTGAGAGCTCCCAAGTGCTTCCCAGGCTGCCCCCTGGTCAGGGCCCTGCATCCTTTCCCTACTCCAGGGGCGAGTGAGGAGGAGACTGCTCTATAGGACCCCCATCACGGGGACTTTCTGCTAGGCTGTTCTGTCCCGTGGGAAGCTTGGAATAATGACAGAAGCCCCTTCCCCCCGCTCTTTATTAATTTTTTTTTTCTTTTTTGGGGGGGGCATTTCCTGAAGGTGCCATTAGTTTCTTTCACATCAGGGGAGATGAGCAAAGGAGCCCAGAGCCCTGTCTGACCTCCCAAACGCAGCCGTGTGGCTTTTGAGCTTGCCGGGGCGTGGCGGGGGGGGCAGGGGGGATTGGCCAACCTCATCCTAGTTGCCTCCTTCTGACCCGATTTCACACAGCTTCGCAGAGGGGTACAGTGAGGCAAGCCCAGCCCAGTCACTGGCCAGCACCCCCTCCCAAATCAGCACTCCCCACCACCTCCTAAGGGTGATCTGGCTAAAGGCTGCTCCGCACTTATTTGCCAGCAAAGGTCAGGGACGGGCAGGTTTGAGCAGGCCAGAGACACAGTGGGTTGTGACGGATGCAGGCACTCCTCTGAGGTGTTTCTACTCCATCTCCAAGGGCATGTGCCCCATTCCTCAACCCCTGCAGGCTGTGAAGGGCAAGGGTGGTGTCCCCATTTTACAGATAAGGAGACTGAGTAAATTACTTGTCTGACACTTTTAAATGTATGGCTTACGTTCTGCCTTCCCACAAAACACACATAAAAGGGGGACAATGAACATTTTTTTAAAAGTGCAAAGCAGTTTTAAAATAGAAAAAAAAAAGGAAAGGAAGAAAATAGTTGGGTAGCCCTCAGAGCAAGGAGATGGAGGAAACTGAAGCTGGCTGTGAGCTTGACTGTGGCCCCAGCTCTGTCCTCCTCCTCTCCCCTCTGTCCCTTCCGCCCTGACCAGGGTTGGCCAGCTCTGACCTGGCCTGAGGGAACAGGGTGATGGGTCCTCAGGCCCGATTCTTCTGAGTTCTCCGATGTCTCACCCACCTCTCTGAGGAAGAAGACCCTCCCTCGCCCCTATTCCTCACCTTCATCTCCCTCCCTGTCAGATGACTTCCGGCACTGGGCTTGGAGGAGCCAGGGCTGGCCCAGACCTTAGGACCTGGGGAGGGAGGCCCTGGCCACTGGACTTGCCTGAGAGCAGGGCAGCTGACCAATAGCCTGCACTTTGCCCCACAGCCGAGAAGCCCCCTGGTGTGGAGGGAGGGATGGGGATGGTGGGGACAGGGCCACCAGGCCCGGGGGTTTGGCACCCTGCCTGCTGAGCTGGTCTGGGGTCTGTCCTGACCCTCAGCACGGGCAAAACTCTCCCAATGACACAACAGGACTTGAGAGCTGGAGCCACAGAGATACCCCAGGTGACCCAGGGACAGGTTCCCCCCACACTCAGCAGGTACATTTGGGGAAACCGTATGTTTCCTCTTGGGCTACATGGAGCCCGGGCTCTGGGGGTGGGGCCAGGAGGCTGACCTGGGAGGGCGCAGGCCTCACTCTGAAATCCCTGTATGGCTGAGAGCTTCGCTTCTCACCCACCACCGACCTCGCATCCCTGCCTGTGAAGCAGTCACATAGACGTGGGTATAAGCCTGCATGCGGGCTTGTAACATGCGCCCCTTGATGCATGCGAACATTAACTCATCAGAACAGCCTAGAAAGCAGGTCCCTTTAATTACCCCCATTTTACCCACGAGAAAACCAACAAACAGAAATGTTAAGTAACTTGCCCAAGGTGCTCAGCCAGCGAGGAACAGTGCAAGCAGGATCAGTAACACCACATGAGGCCAGATAGGCTTCAGGGGGTGGGGGGCGGGCCTCGTTATGAAATGCCCAGGCAGGCAGCCCCTGCAGAAAGGTGTTTCCCTTTTGGAGACCTGCCGGGGACAATGCCCACCCCAGGGGAGGAGGGTGGGGAGGTGACACAGACCAGCATACTCTGTAGAGAAGCCTTTATTGGGGAGGGGTTAGAGTTCATGGATCACTGGGAGGTGCAAATAGAGAGTTCTGAGGGTGCTGCTGGGGCGGGGTGCTAGGGGGGAGGCCGCGGCCCCACAGAGTTGCCTGGAAGCCCCGGAGCCCTGGTGCCAGTCCCTTGAGGGTCTCACTGGAGAGTGTCCCTGCACCCTGGCATCCCAGAGTCTCCCTCTGGGGGTCCCTCGGGCCTTGCCACTGTCCATCTGTCTGTGTAGACCCCAGGAGTCAGCAGAGAAGCCAGTCCTCCTTGGCGGGTCCCTCCTACTCGGCCGCTTTTCCTGGGACTCCCCAAAGAGCCAGTCCAGGGGGTCAGCAGTGCCGTCCCCGGGCGGTGCTGGCTGCTGACCACTGAAGCGGGTAGTAATGTGCCGTAGGGACTCAGTAGGGCAGCTCTTCTGGAAGGTCCGGGCTGGCCGAGGGCTTCTGCTGGGCTGGGCCCTGGCTGTGGCCACGTCCAGCACTGAAGTGGGCTGGGCCAGCTGACAAATGGACTTCACGTAGTCATTCAGGCTGGGGGAGGCCAGGGGCTCCTGCCCGGGCCCCCCGGGCAGCATCTCCTCCAGGGTCTCCCGAATCGTGGGCAGGTGGGCCACGGGAAGCAGTAGCCGGGACCTCATGGCCGTTGGCGATGCGGGGCGGAGACCTGTTGATCGACAGAGGACCGGGGTTGAGGGTCTGCCATTCTGTCACCCCTCTGTGTCCCCTCTGTCAGCTGAGGCTGCCCAGGGGATTCACAGGCCTGAGAGTGGAGTGAAGTCTGCAGACCCAAGCCCGGGCTCGGACTCCCGGACTCTTCCTTCCTGCTAACGCTGAAAGCCTCGTGCTCAAGAATCTATCCTTACTGTTGTTGAAGAACCCGCACAAATCAGACAACCCGGCCTAATGGGCTGGAGTCAGAGGGAACATGGGTGTAAAACCAGCCTCTGCTGCTTCCTGACCTGGGGACCGTTGGCAAGGTCATCTCTCCAAGCCTCCCCTGACCCATCCATAAAACAGGGTTATAAGTACCTGCTGGAAAGGGTGTTGTAAGAAAAGCATGGAATGAAATCCCTCTACGAATGCGAAGCCCTCGGCGGCTACTATCCCTGCCATCGACTGCATGCCCTGGTCTCTAACCTGCAGTGAGGCCCTGTTCATCCTCAAAGATAAACAAAACCTTTCTGTCCCATCTCTAACCAGAGGGAAGCTGCTCTCCCTTACCTGTAGCTGAGGGAACCCGGGGATCACAGGGCTGCCAGATGAGCAAGGACAGTCCTTGGGAAGGCCCAGGGAGCTCGGGGCCGAGGGTTGGGGGCCCCACAGTCAGAGCACCGTGTCCAGCGTTGGCATGGCCAGGAGATGGACGGGGAGCGCGATGGTGGGGCCGCTGCCCGGCGTGCAAGGCTCCCCGAGCTGTCTGGTGGACCCGGAGGCTCGGCAGCTGCTTTTATACTTCCCCGCCTGCCATCAGTCACTGTCACGCGGGCCAAAAATAGCAGTGCCCAGGAAGGCTCGCAGAGGGAAAACAACGTGGCGGGCGGGCTTGGGCCCGCCGCCAGCCCGGAGCTGTGGAAGGCTCCAGGGTTGTTTACCCTCCAGGGCAGGGGAGGGGCCGCCCCGCTCCTGCCACCTCAGCCCAGGGAGAGGCAGGGGGCTCCAGTGAGGAGGAACGTGTTCACTGGGACCCAGAATCAGAGGGCCCAGAATGGCTTCCCGACTTAATGGAAATGTGAGGCTGTGGGACCCACATTCAAGTCCTGCCTCGGCCTGCATGCCCTTCCCCACCTGTACGGCGAGGGCCGCCCTGGAGCCTGGAGCTCCTTCTGCTCTGCCCTCAGTTTCCCCTGCTTTGACCAGAGACAGCTGCAGCCTTGACAGGGCCTCCCCTCCATCCCGATGAGGCCAGGCTGAGGGACAGAGGAACAGTGGTTGGGGGGGGCAGCTTGGGGACACATCTGTGCACCATCTGTGCAAGGACATGGGGCCCGAGTCACATCAGGCCAGCAGACCCCAGCGTAGCTGATCCCTGACCTCAGAGGCAGCAACTCTGCTCCTGCCCCTGGCTCCCAGTCCCAGGGCAATTCCTCCTGCCTCCTTCACTACAAGGTCCCCAGAGCCTTCCTGTGGCATGTTTGAAGGCCCAGCCTCAGCGTGTCCAGCCCCCTGCCCCTGGCCCAGCAGTGCTGTCTTCTCCTGCCCCTCAGAGCTCTAAATGATCTCCTGACTCTCGGGTCCAGGACCATGACTGCTTGATCTCCCTCCACACAGGGTCTGACGTGGGGCCGGCAGGCAGTGGGGCTCCATGAATGAACTTACTGAGCTGTGTCGGGTGAGGCGGGGGGCTCTCTCTCGCAGAGTGTTGACATTTTTTTTTTTAAGATTTTTTTTTTTT